AATGAATGAACCCGGCGGTGATTTACAGATATTGTCAAAATAATAATATTCAAATCTTCTCTGAAAAGAGTCTGCCAATTACTACATTCCATCTGTATCCTGGAGTGTTTAAAATGGTCTGTCAAATTTTTATAATTTTTATGCACTTTCATCGTGAAAAAAAAAAAAGAAATGTGGAATTTTGTGCCAGACAATGCGGCTTGGCAAGTTCGTGAACAAAAACATGATTTAGGCGTCCAATCTCCTGCTTTTTATCAGTGGTTCAGAGAGAAGGAGGAGAGAGGGGAAGGCAGAGGAGGAGAGAGGGAAGCCAGAGGAGGAGAGAGGGAAGCAGAGGAGGAGAGAGGGAAGCGTTTTTTTGAGGAGGAGAGAGGGAAAGCAGAGGAGGAGAGAGGGAGCAGAGGAGGAGAGAGAGGGACCTGAGGAGGATAAATGTATTATGCTGCTGCCCCTATAATTGGCTTGGCTTGGCCCGGTGGCATAGCCTGTGGCCATCGGGGGGCAGGTGCCCTGGGTGCAAAACTCTTGGAGGAGAGAAAAAAAAATCACGATCCTGCACCTGGTCCAAATATACACACCTGGGCAGGGTCCTTTGTGCTAGCACTGGGCACCCGGGGTACTCGCCCCTTGCATCTCCCGCGGGGGTTCGGGGTCTCCCAAGGATGTCTACCTGTATTGAGTTGTGTAATCTGAAGTCTGATTTAGGATTTCAGGAAAGGACAATTGCACCGGGGTGGGGGGGGGGGGCATATGACCTGAAGGAGGAGGAGGATAACATCTTGTGATGTTTATAAACAATGTTACTTTGTATCTCTGTGTATCTCCCGTCTGATCCATTGTTTATAAACAATGTTACTTTGTATCTCTGTCTCTATCCCCCATCTGATCGATGTTTATAAACAATGTTACTTTGTATCTCTCTATCCCCGTCTGATTGATGTTTATAAACAATGTTACTTTGTATCTCTTTTCCCCCGTCTGATCGATGTTTACAGTGGGGATGGAAAGTTTGGGCACCCAGCTAAAAATTTTTGTTTTAATGTGTGCATAAAGAAGCCAAGACAAGAAAATGGAAAAATCTCCAAAAGGCATCAAATTACAGATTAGACATTCTTATATAATATGTCAACACAAAAGTTAGATTTTATTTCCATCATTTACACTTTCAAAATAACAGAAAACAAAAAAATGGCGTCTGTGCAAAAGTTTGGGCCCCCTGCAGAATTTATAGCATGCACTGTCCCCTTTGCTCAAGCTGAGACCTGCCAGTGTCATGGATTGTTCTCAATCATCGTTCTGGGAAGACCAGGTGATGTCAATCTCAAAGGTTTTAAATGCCCAGATCATCTGACCTTGCCCCAACAATCAGCACCATGGGTTTTCTAAGCAGTTGTCTAGAAAACTGAAACTGAAAATAGTTGATGCTCACAAAGCTGGAGAAGGCTATAAGAAGAGGGGGTGGGGGGGTGGGGGGGGGGTTAGCAAAGCGTTTTTTCAGGTGTCAATATCCTCTGTTCGGAATATGAAATTAAGAAATGGCAGTCATCAGGAACAGTGGAAGTTAAAGCAAGATCTGGAAGACCAAGAAAACTATCAGACAGAACAGCTTGCAGGATTGTGAGAAAAACAATTTTCAAAACCACGTTTGACTGCACGATCCCTCCAGAAAGATCTGGCAGACACTGGAGTTGTGGTCACTATTCCACTATAAAGAGATGCTTGTACAATATATGGTCTTCATGGAAGAGTCATCAGAAGAAACCTCTTCTACGTCCTCACCACAAAAATCATCGTTTGAACTTTGCAAATGAACATATAGACAAGCCTTGATGCATTTTGGAAAACAAGTTTGTGGAACCGATGAGGTTTAAAATTTTAACTTTTTGGCCGGAATGAGCAAAGGTACGTTTGGAGAAGAAGAGGGGCACACGAATTGAATGAAAAGAACCTCTGTCCAACTGTGAAGCATGGGGTTGGATCAATCATGCATTGGGGTTGTGTTGCAGCCAGTGGCACAGGGAACATCTCACGAGTAGAAGGAAAAATGGATTCAATAAAATTTCAGCAAATTTTGGATGGTAACTTGATGCCTTCTGTGAAAAAGCTGAAGTTAAAGAGAGGATGGCTTCTACAAATGGATAATGATCCTAAACACACCATGAAAATCCACGGGGGGATTACATCAAGAGGCGTAAACTGAAGGTTTTGCCATGGCCTTCACAATCTCCTGACCTCAACATACATTTTGAAAATCTATGGATAGACCTTAAAAATGAGAGCCGTGCGTGACAGACAGCCCAGAAATCTCAAGAACTGGAAGACTTTTGTAAGGAAAGACGGGCAAAGATACCTCAAACAAGATTGAAAGACTCTTGGCTGGCTACAAAAAGCGTTTACAAGCCGGTGATACTTGCCAAAGGGGGGGCAGTACAAGATATTAACTCACCCTGCAGGGGGCCCAAAACTTTTGCAGACGCCATTTTTTTTTTTCTGTTATTTTGAAAGTGTAAATGATGGAAATAAAATCTAACTTTTGTTGACATATTATAAGAATGTCTAATCTGTAATTTGATGCCTTTGGAGATTTTTCCATCTTCCTTGGCTTCTTTTATGCACATTAATACACATTTTTAGCTGGGGGGGGGGGGGGGGGGGCCCAAACTTTCCATCCCCACTGTATAAACAATGTTACTTTGTATCTTCTATCTCCTGTCTGATCGATGTTTTATAAACAATGTTACTTTGTATCTCTCCATCTCCCGTCTGATCGATGTTTATAAACAATGTTACTTTGTATCTCTCCATCTCCCGTCTGATCGATTGTTTATAAACAATGTTACTTTGTATCTCTCTATCTCGTTTCTGATCGATGTTTATAAACAATGTTACTTTGTATCTCTATCTCCCGTCCCTGATCGATGTTTATAAACAATGTTACTTTGTATCTCTCTATCCCCCGTCTTGATCGATGTTTATAAACAATGTTACTTTGTATCTCTCTATCTCCCGTCTGATCGATGTTTATAAACAATGTTACTTTGTATCTCTCCGTCTCCCGTCTGATCGATGTTTATAAACAATGTTACTTTGTATCTCTCCTCTCTCCGTCTGATCGATGTTTATAAACAATGTTACTTTGTATCTCTCCATCTCCCCTCTGATCGATGTTTATAAACAATTGTTACGATTTGTATCTCTCCATCTCCCGTCTGATCGATGTTTATAAACAATGTTACTTTGTATCTCTCCGTCTCCCGTCTGATCGATGTTTATAAACAATTTTACTTTGTATCTCTCCATCTCCCCGTCTGATCGATGTTTATAAACAATGTTACTTTTTGTATCTCTCTATCTCCCGTCTGATCGATGTTTATAAACAATGTTACTTTGTATCTCTCCAATCTCCCGTCTGATCGATGTTTATAAACAATTTTTACTTTGTATCTCTCTATCTCTCCCGTCTGATCGATGTTTATAAAACAATGTTACTTTGTATCTCTCCATCTCCCTCGATCGATGTTTATAAACAATGTTACTTTGTATCTCTCCATCTCCCGTCTGATCGATGTTTATAAACAATGTTACTTTGTATCTCTCCATCTCCCCTCTGATCGATGTTTATAAACAATGTTACTTTGTATCTCTCTATCTCCGTTCTGATCGATGTTTATAAACAATGTTACTTTGTATCTCTCTATATCTCCGTCTGATCGATGTTTATAAAACAATGTTACTTTGTATCTCTATCTCCCGTCTGATCGATGTTTATAAACAATGTTACTTTGTATCTCTCCCGTCTCCCGTCTGATCGATGTTTATAAACAATGTTACTTTGTATCTCTCCATCTCCCGTCTGATCGATGTTTATAAACAATGTTACTTTGTATCTCTCCATCTATCCGTCTGATCGATGTTTTATAAACAATGTTACTTTGTATCTCTCTATCTCCCGTCTGATCGATGTTTTTATAAACAATGTTACTTTGTATCTCTCTATCTCCGTTGATCGATGTGTTTATAAAACAATGTTACTTTGTCTCTCTCTATCTCCCGTCTGATCGATGTTTATAAACAATGTTACTTTGTATCTCTATCTCCCGTCTGATCGATGTTTATAAACAATGTTACTTTGTATCTCTCTCCGTCTCCCGTCTGATCGATGTTTATAAACAATGTTACTTTGTATCTCTCCATCTCCCGTCTGATCGATGTTTATAAACAATGTTACTTTGTATCTCTGTAGGAGAGGAGAAGGCAGGGCGCACTCTCCTGTGTACTGTCATGGAGTTTTCTCAGAGGTGCTCAGCACACCCCGTGTCCACATTGGGAATGATCGGTGCTATGAGCCCATCCGCGCGGCAACATTATGGGGGTCATACACATACTGATATGATCTGTGGATCAGCCAACCAATGACAACCAACAGATCTAATCACATATTAAACTTCATATTTACTGCCTGACCAATAACAGAAGGAGAGATGATTTGTGAATGACATCGATCGGCTGGCCTGGATTGATCTTTTTAATTGCCAGCACAGTGTTTGCGTAACGTCAGAGAAGTCATTATAGAAAAAGCGATCGATTTCCTAAACAAATAGGTCTCAAATGATTGTTTGATTGATATTAAAGATTGTTGAACAGCGGGGCGATGTCTGTGTGTTCAGGCGCTTAATTATTCAGTCAGCCGGGAATCGCTCCATTGTCATCATTTGTATTTAAATCATTCGGGGTCAGAATACTTCATACCGGGATCAAACGCCGTCCCTGACATTGTCCCCAGGGCTGCACTTAACATTCAGCGAATGTAAAGATACACAGAGCTGTCAGAGACTGCGGACACGGTACAGGAGACGGTCAGAGACTGCGGACACAGTACAGGAGACGGTCAGAGACTGCGGGCACAGTACAGGAGACGGTCAGAGACTGCGGACATAGCACAGGAGACGGTCAGAGACTGCGGGCACAGTACAGGAGACGGTCAGAGACTGCGGACATAGCACAGGAGACGGTCAGAGACTGCGGACATGGCACAGGAGACGGTCAGAGACTGCGGGCACAGTACAGGAGACGGTCAGAGACTGCGGACATAGCACAGGAGACGGTCAGAGACTGCGGACATAGCACAGGAGACGGTCAGAGACTGCGGACACGGTACAGGAGACGGTCAGAGACTGCGGGACACGGTACAGGAGACGGTCAGAGACTGCGGACACGGTACAGGAGACGGTCAGAGACTGCGGACATGGCACAGGAGACGGTCAGAGACTGCGGACACGGTACAGGAGACGGTCAGAGACTGCGGACATAGCACAGGAGACGGTCAGAGACTGCGGACACGGTACAGGAGACGGTCAGAGACTGGGACACGGTACAGGAGACGGTCAGAGACTGCGGACATGGTACAGGAGACGGTCAGAGACTGCGGGCACAGTACAGGAGACGGTCAGAGACTGCCGGGACACGGTACAGGAGACGGTCAGAGACTGCGGACATAGCACAGGAGACGGTCAGAGACTGCGGGCACAGTACAGGAGACGGTCAGAGACTGCGGACATAGCACAGGAGACGGTCGGAGACTGCGGACGGTACAGGAGACGGTCGGAGACTGCGGACATAGTACAGGAGACGGTCAGGAGACTGCGGACACAGTACAGGAGACGGTCAGAGACTGCGGACACGGTACAGGAGACGGTCGGAGACTGCGGACACGGTACAGGAGACGGTCAGGAGACTGCGGACATAGTACAGGAGACGGTCGGAGACTGCGGACATAGTACAGGAGACGGTCGGAGACTGCGGACACGGTACAGGAGACGGTCGGAGACTGCGGACACGGTACAGGAGACTGACCAGAGACTGCGGACACGGTACAGGAGACGGTCAGAGACTGCGGACACGGTACAGGAGACGGTCGGAGACTGCGGACACGGTACAGGAGACGGACCGGAGACTGCGGGACACGGTACAGGAGACGGTCAGAGACTGCGGACAACGGTACAGGAGACGACGGACAGAGACTGCGGACGGTACAGGAGACGGTCGGAGACTGCGGACATAGTACAGGAGACGGTCAGAGACTGCGGACATAGTACAGGAGACGGTCGGAGACTGCGGACACGGTACAGGAGACGGTCAGAGACTGCGGACACGGTACAGGAGACGGTCAGAGACTGCGGACATAGTACAGGAGACGGTCAGAGACTGCGGACATAGTACAGGAGACGGAGAGACTGCGGATCGGTACAGGAGAGAAAGGCGGAGACTACGGACAGGTACAGGGTCAGAGACTGCGGACATAGTACAGGGAGGTCAGGGACTAATGAACATAACATAGGAGATGACCAGAGACTGCGGACATAGTACAGGAGACGGTCAGAGACTGAGGACATAGTACAGGAGACGGTCAGAGACTGAGGACATAGTACATGAGACGGTCAGAGACTGAGGACGGTACAGGAGAGGGTCAGGGACTATGAACAGACATAGGGTCAGAGACTGAGGACATAGTAGTACAGGAGACGGTCAGAGACTGAGGACATAGTACAGGAGACGGTCAGAGACTGAGGACATAGTACATGAGACGGTCAGAGACTGAGGACACATAGTACAGGAGACGGTCAGAGACTGAGGACACGGTACAGGAGAGGGTCAGGGACTATGAACATAACATAGGAGCTGCTAGGGACATGATTCAGTACCAGACAGGGCTAGGATCCACATTTCATCTGCCCTCTGGGTGGGTGCACTTATCTCACATTCATTTTGCAAGGTTGGTCCTGCCCAGGCCCCATCCCCCAGGACACAGTATTGGTGGGACAGAGGGCCAAGATGGAGGACTGTACTGGCAGGCCTGGCGTGTTTGGACTTCTGATCTGTATACTTGCTCTAGGAAAGTATGGAAGCCATTAAACCAACATGGCATCCAAGCCACCGGCATCTCTGGAAGCAGAGGGCTTAAATGGCAGTTGTGTGGCTGTCATGTTAGAGAAAAAAATATAAACAAGATTTATGTGAAAATTATCTTTTTGTAAAACTTCAAAAATAAAAAAGTTGTTACTGACAAAGCAGCTTGTTGTTTTAGTCCAGACTTTTTTTTCATCCAGGGTGCTCGGGCACTCTGGTGTGCCTTGAGGTTTCTTCAAGGGTGCCTTGAGGTTACTTCAGGGGTGCTTTGAGGTTACTTCAGGGGTGCCTTGAGGTCTCTTCAGAGGTGCCTTGAGGTTTCCTCAAGGGTGCTTTGAGGTTACTTCAGGGGTGCCTTGAGGTTTCTTCAAGGGTGCTTTGAGGTTACTTCAGGGGTGCTTTGAGGTTACTTCAGGGGTGCTTTGAAGTTTCCTCAGGGTGCTTTGAGGTTACTTCAGGGGTGCCTTGAGGTTACTTCAGGGGTGCCTTGAGGGTGTTTTCTTTTGAGGTCTCTTCAGAGGTGCCTTGAGGTTTCTTCAGGGTGCTTTGAGGTTTCCTCAGGGGTGCTTTGAGGTTACTTCAGGGGTGCCTTGAGGTCTCTTCAGAGGTGCCTTGAGGTTTCTTCAGGGGTGCTTTGAGGTTTCCTCAGGGGTGCTTTGAGGTTACTTCAGGGGTGCTTTGAAGTTTCCTCAGGGGTGCTTTGAGGTTACTTCAGGGGTGCCTTGAGGTCTCTTCAGGGTGCCTTGAGGTTTCCTCAAGGGTGCTTTGAGGTTACTTCAGGGGTGCCTTGAGGTTTCTTCAAGGGTGCTTTGAGGTTACTTCAGGGGTGCTTTGAGGTTACTTCAGGGGTGCTTTGAAGTTTCCTCAGGGGTGCTTTGAGGTTACTTCAGGGGTGCCTTGAGGTCTCTTCAGAGGTGCCTTGAGGTTTCTTCAGGGTGCTTTGAGGTTTCCTCAGGGGTGCTTTGAGGTTACTTCAGGGGTGCCTTGAGGTCTCTTCAGAGGTGCCTTGAGGTTTCTTCAGGGGTGCTTTGAGGTTTCCTCAGGGGTGCTTTGAGGTTACTTCAGGGGTGCTTTGAAGTTTCCTCAGGGGTGCTTTGAGGTTACTTCAGGGGTGCCTTGAGGTCTCTTCAGAGGTGCCTTGAGGTTTCTTCAGGGGTGCTTTGAGGTTTCCTCAGGGGTGCTTTGAGGTTACTTCAGGGGTGCCTTGAGGTCTCTTCAGAGGTGCCTTGAGGTTTCTTCAGGGGTGTCTTGAGGTTTCTTCAGGAGTGCTTTGATGTTACTTCAGGGGTGCCTTGAGGTTACTTCAGGGGTGCCTTGAGGTCTCTTCAGGGTGCCTTGAGGTCACTTCAGGGGTGCCTTGAGGTCTCTTCAGGGGATGCCTTGAGGTTTCTTCAGGGGTGCCTTGAGGTCTCTTCAGGGGTGCCTTGAGGTCTCTTCAGGGGTGCCTTGAGGTCTCTTCAGGGGTGCCTTGAGGTCTCTTCAGGGGTGCCTTGAGGTCTCTTCAGGGGTGCCTTGAGGTCTCTTCAGGGGTGCCTTTGCAAATGTTTAAAAATTGCCAGAAACTGGTATACCAGCCAGCGGGTGGAAGAAGCCGGCCTTCTAGTTTACACAAAGCCACGGGTTCTCATTGTGCACCATAACGACCTTCTAGCCACCGGCAGCCTGACAACCAATGACGTCTTCAGTTTATAACAGGGGTGTAAACTCCATTCCATGGTGGGCCATATCAGCATTATGTTTGCCCTCAAGGGGCCGGTTGTATCAGTAAGAATAAATGTCCAGAGCCCCCCCCCATTACAACAGATGTCAAGAATCCCCACCCTCCCTAACATCCCCGTGCACCCCCTTTGGGGGCGGAGTTGGAAAGCAGAAAGTGCAGGGTCTGGAGGAGGAACAGAGGAGGAGTGGAGTCAGTTACCAGATTCTACTGAATGCTGAGAGCAGGGGAGGCAGAGATGGGGGGGGGGGGTGCTGCAGCTGTACTGAGGGGTGCAGGATTTGGCAGAGGAGTTCTATTCTTCTCTTCTATTCTTCTCTTCTCTGCCAACTGCTGAGACAAGGTGGGGGGTGGAATCAAGGGGGGTACCTGTAAGAGAGGTGCAAGAGCCACACAAAATGGCCTGGGGGAGGAGATACCTTGTGTTTGACACCTGTGGTTTATAAGGAGGATGTCGGTTACTTGCACAGCATCCTAGCTTGCCCCTCCCCCGCCCCTCTCTGTCAGAACTAGGGTCACATTATCTGAGTGATGGAGAAAAAACTGAGGGAGAGGAGAAACATTAGTATACTAGTCAGTACCAGAGTGCAAAAGTGTATTTGCTTTGGAAGAATAAATCCCCTCTAACGTTGGGTGTCCTCCATGTGTGGATGTTGCTGCGTTATAGAAAACTATTAGAATCATTTTCTACATTTTAGAATGGGGGGCCTGAAGACCGTCCATCATTTTATAGGGGGCCCAAGACCGTCCATCATTTTATAGGGGGCCCAAGACCGTCCATCATTTTATAGGGGGCCTCAAGCCCGTCCATCATTTTATAGGGGGCCCAAGACCGTCGATCATTTTATAGGGGGCCCAAGACCGTCCATCATTTTATAGGGGGCCCCAAGACCGTCCATCATTTTATAGGGGGCCTCAAGACCGTCGATCATTTTATAGGGGGCCTCAAGACCGTCGATCATTTTATAGGGGGCCTGAAGACCATCCATCATTTTATAGGGGGCCTCAAGACCGTCCATCATTTTTATAGGGGGCCTCAAGCCCGTCCATCATTTTATAGGGGGCCTCAAGACCGTCGATCATTTTATAGGGGGCCTCAAGACCGTCCATCATTTTATAGGGGGCCTGAAGACCATCCATCATTTTATAGGGGGCCTCAAGACCGTCCATCATTTTATAGGGGGCCTCAAGACCATCCATCATTTTATAGGGGGCCTCAAGACCGTCCATCATTTTATAGGGGCCTCAAGACCGTCCATCATTTTATAGGGGGCCTCAAGACCGTCCATCATTTTATAGGGGGCCTCAAGACCGTCCATCATTTTATAGGGGCCTCAAGACCGTCCATCATTTTATAGGGGGCCTCAAGACCGTCCATCATTTTATAGGGGGCTCAAGACCGTCCATCATTTTTATAGGGGGCCTCAAGACTGTCCATCATTTTATAGGGGGGGGCCTGAAGACCGTCCATCATTTTATAGGGGCCTCAAGACCGTCCATCATTTTATAGGGGCCTCAAGACCATCCATCATTTTATAGGGGGCTCAAGACCATCCATCATTTTAAAGGGGGCCTCTGGACTTTCCAGAACTTTAGAGGATGCCTTGAAATTGTCCATCATTTTAAAGGGCACCATTAATGAACAAGGTTGAGAAAAATTGTTTTAGTCACTGGCTATAAAAAAGCATTCAGGAGCCAAAGTCAGGACTTCCATACGTAACCAATTCGTATCCCGGATCCGAGGACACTGATAACCCCAACGACTATCTGCATCTCATCTGCCTGCTGTCTGCATGGGTGTCCCCAAATCATGCTCATTGTATGGGCCGGTCCTGCCCAGGACCTGTCGGTGGGATAAAGAGCCAAGATGTAGGACTATGGGCTGACCGCCCATTCGTGGCTCTGGTCCCTGCAATTCATTCCTTTTTGAGTTCCTGTCCAATGAGGTTGTTGCTGTGATCCCAGGACACAGCCCAGAACATAGCCCCGGACACAGCCCAGGACACAGCCCAAGACACAGCATCACTGGGACAGAGAGACAAGATGAAGGACTGTCCCAGCAAATCTGGGGCAGTTGGCATGGATTGACTTTCTGTTCTTCATATGTGCTCCAGGAAATGGCGGCCAACATGACAGTTCCGGCCCAATGAGGTTGTTGCTGTGATCCCAGGACACAGCCCAGGACACAGCCCAGGACACAACCCAGGACACAGCCCAGGACACAGTCAGGTCAGGACACAGCCCAGGACACAACCCAGGACACAACCCAGGACACAGACCCAGGACACAGCCCAGGACACAGCCCAGGACATAGCCCAGGACACAGCCCAGGACACAGTCAGGACACAGCCCAGGACACAGCCCAGGACACAGCCCAGGACACAGCCCAGGACACAGCCCAGGACACAGCCCAGGACACAGCCCAGGACACACAACAGCCCAGGACATAGACCCAGGACACAGCATCAGTGGGACGGAGAGCCAAGATGAAGGACTGTCCCAGCAAATATGGGACAGTTGTCATGTATGGACCTCTGATCTGCATACTGGTTCCAGGAAATGATTGAAGCCATTGGACCATGATTCCAAGCAGGCCAACTGCAGATAGGAGTG